ATATTATAGAGAAATCTTACAGGATATTTTTTTTTAAGAAATTATTAAAAGAACAGACTAGATAGGTAGGAGAAAGAGAAATAAAATATTTAACAATTACAATATATTTTATGTATACATATATAATAACAGTAAATAAGTAATATTATGTATATTAAACATTTTAGAATAGTTATTAAAAGAGGTATAAGAGACTTAAAAAGCCCATTGTCCTTTAAGTCAAATTTTAATTTAAAATATAAATAAATTGTAAAAGAGGAAAAATTACTAAAGAAAATTACATAGTTTTTTTTTTTGGTATTTTCATAATTAATTGAAAAATTAAATAATAAAATAAAATGCTCTTGTGTAAATATTTGAAAGAAATTTTTTATTTTTTAAGAAATTTATTGGAATTTTTTTACAATTTAAATTTAAAGCATACATAAATAGTCTATTAGAACTATTTAAAATTAAAGTCGAGTCAATTGTTTTTCATTTGAACTAAGAACTAAATTTTTTCCAATATAATACAATTTTGAAGAAATTTCAGAGGCGAATAAATTTGGAAAAGTTCAAAATCTTTATTAAATTTTAAAAAATTTCTAAAAATTTGAGTGTATCATAAGAGATTGTTAAGTAATTTGTGAATAATTCATTTGAAATTCAATAAAATATTTAAAAATGAGTTTTTTTTTTTTTGGGTTATGTTCATATATAGTAAAGAAAACAATTTTGTTTTTCCTCTTGAATTCATAGAAAAGATCTTAGCAATCATTAATTAAACTGTCCATTTTTTGGGCACATCTCTCCAACAACGAACATCTCTAATCCAACAACGAAAACTTTATACAATTACACTAATAATACAATAGCAGCAATTAAAATATCGGTAAGAGAGGTAGTAGTGGTTTAGAAATAGGCCAAATAATAATTCTGAGAAAAATTATGTATACGAACATTTTTGATCCAAAAAAAAAATATCTTGTTATTTAAATATACATGAGTAAAACATTTATAAATCATTAAAGCACTAAGAAATTTTCAAAAAGATTATATGAAAATTTGATCCATACGTCAACGATTTTCAATATGGATCAAAATACGTCTCAAATCAATTTAAAAATGAGAGTGGATCAAAGTTAAATCTGAATATCTAAAATACTAAATGAGATAGTTGAAAACGAATTACATATTCTGAAAGATTATCCTCGAAAATTTATGAAAATGTTCTTGAATCAAAAATAATAAAAGTGGTGTATGAATTAAAATTCAACTCAGGCGACGATTTGTCATTTGCTTATAAAATTTTTCAATTGGAATCTTCCATGAATTAATATAATTTTATTAAATACATATATGTACAATTACGTTGTGTTTGGCTGTTGTCTCGGGGGGAAAGCCAGGAATAAAGTTTAAAATGTTGCTTTCCTCTTTGGTGCCATACCAATAATAAAATATAGGTCATTTGTTATCTACATTTAATTCATCTTGTTTTTCTTCACATTTCTTAAACTTTTAATTTTTAAAATAAATTTAGTTGTTTGAAATATTTTTTTTCGGTTCCAACTTTAAATATATTATTTTTTATATTATCTATTTTTAGTTTACCTTTAATATTGTTTTTAAATTTTAATAATTATTTCTCTCCTTCGTCGCTGCTACTTCACAAGTTTACTGAAATACAAATAAGTATTGTAGAAATTTTCTGCTACACATTTGACAATTACATATCTGAAAATTAATACTATCTAAAGTTGTTCATTCTCGAATTAACAAGTGAAAATTTGCTAATTCACAATAATTAAAATTCATGAATAATATGGCTATCATACTAGTCTTTAATTGACGGTGGTTCTTTCGCAATTAAATTTAATTTAATGTAAAAAAATATTATATTTTTTATACTCACAAGTTATTTAGCTATTACACATAGTATACACTAGTACTGTACATAGTATACTAAACCATTTTAAGTAATAAAATTTTGGCGATAATTACTCAAAAAATAATCAACAATTTTCTTCAAAAAATTCGACTCTGTTTATTACTAATTTTTATAACGCAATTAAACAACAAAAATAATCTCGTATACCAAAATTTAATAAATATACTCGTATAAATATAATAATTATAATAAATAATAATATAAATTAAGATTAAATGTTAAATACTATGAACAACAAAGTATTTTTTTTAAAATCAAACAAACATTAAAAAAAAAACAAAAGGATCAAATGAATTGCTTTACAAATAATTTTAATTTTAAACCCTTTAAATAAAAAAACCTGAATTATTTTAAAATTTACAGATCAATAAATTGAATAAAGTTAATTAATAAATAAAACAAACTGTTATATAAAATAAAATCAACAAAACATTTAATTCAATTTAAAAGAAAAGAGTTACAAAAGCAAAAACAAAAATAAGAAAAAATCATACGTAATTAATTCAAAAGTAAATTAATTGAAAAAAAAAGGATTATTAATTAAAATATTTACAATATTTTTCATCTACTTGATTTTTTTTTTAATTTTTTTTTTTTATTTAAAATATAAATACTCTCAACACTAGCTGTGATATATACCTATATAAAATATACATAAAATTAGTTAATTAAGTGAAAACTAAAATGATTATTATTATGTACTTGTATAATTATATATAATTATATAATAAACTAGTTACATATATATACATACAAAAATAATCATTAAATTAATTATTAATTACATTGTAAAATAATAAATTAATAACCGCAAAAAAAGATCCTTATGACAAATACCATTTATGTTAATAATTTATATATAAAAAAATTTATAAATAATAAAATAAATAATTAAAACTGTAATTAACTAACTATAATAATAATAATAATAATAAATAATAATTACAATAATATACAAATAAAAATTGAAATTTTATAATTAAAATAAATTAATTAACTAAAAGATCCATTTCAATTATAACAGTAAATAATAATAAGAATAATAATAATAATTATTTTAATAATAATAACTATATTTAATTATTAAGTTTATTAATTATTACCAAAAGTGCTAAGAAAAAAATTTATTAACTTAAAAAGTAAAATTTTTAATAGCTTTAAAAAATATGTAAATTAATTAATTAAATAATTAATTGCGTGTATAATAAAAAAAAAAAATTCTTATATAACATAGATAAATAATAATTAAGAAATTTATTTACTTAACAAAAAAAAAAATTAATTTAAGAAAAAACTTAAATTAATTTAAGAATTTAAGTTTATGTAACATAAATAATTTAATAAGAATTAATAATTTTAATAATTTTATAAAGAAATTACAAAAATTTTATTATTATTTATAATTAAAATTTATTTAAAATTAAAAATAAATGAAACAAAATCTGTGATATTAATTAAGTAAAAATAAAAAAAAAACGCAAATAAATTAATTAAATTAAAGAATTAAAATAAAAAGCAACAATATCCTAAAATTTTAATTGAAACAAAAAAAAAACACTAATTTTTTATAAATAATTACAAGAAAACAACAAAACTGAAATTAACAAATATTTTTGCATTAAAAAATAAAATAGTCCAATAAAAATTTATAAAATATTTTAAAAAATTAAAAAAAAATTTTTTCGAAATTTTTTTATCGTAAAAAAATTTTTTTAATATTTTCAATTTAATAAAATATTTTGAATTGTTGCATTATTATTACACTCAGAAAAATTTTCTTCATGAAAATTTCTTATAATAATTTGCAAAATTTTTTCTTAATACTCAGAAACTTTAAAAAAACAAAAACATTTTTTTAATGCATTTTAAATTATATACGAAACGCCAATATTATTACAAAATATTATACACTTCTTTGGATTAATTGGAATAATTAAGCGTTTAATGTAATAATTATATATAATCAGTATTTTGCTACGAAAAAAAAGAAAAATCAGTCACTTTTGAAATTAAATCGCTCAAAATATTATTAATTTTTAATCAAATACTACGTCGATTTAATTAAAAATATTTTTGTAAAATTTGTATATATATATATATATATATATTAAGAAATTAAAAATGAAAGGTTGCAAACAATGTGAATTATTTGAATATCAACAACAACAATATCAGGAACAATTAAGACATTTTACAACACCATCATCCACATCATCATCATCATCATTATCAATTGATAAATTATTGCAACATAAACAATTAAATGATATAAAATTTCAAAATAATTTATTAAATGATAATAATAATAATGGAATACAATATAATTCAATAAATAAAATAAAAAGAATTCCTAATAATAATAATAATTATTGTAAACATGATAATAACAATTTAATAACAACATCAATAATAACAATACCTGTAACAACAACAAAAACATCAACAACAGTAACATCAACAATAAATAATGTAACGACAGTTCCTTTAAATTCTACAATAACGACCACAGCAACAACAACAACATTAAATACAATAATACCAGATGTAACAGTATCATCATTATCACCTGAAACAGAAAATTTATTAAAATCAAATAAATTTCATACAAATTCAACAAATTTAAATTATTATCATCAACTAAATCATAATTATAAATTAAATAATAATAATAATGGTTTACCAATATCACCGGCTATAGGAACAATTCCAACATCAATTAAAACAATTCCACAATCATCAACTGAATTAAATTTATTATCACCTATTGCTGGACAACAATATATTTTACCAAATACTCATAATAATAATAGTAATAATAATAATGATAATAGAATTGAAAGTGATTCAAATTGTATAATTGGTGCATCAATAATAAATAATAATAATAACGATGAGAGTGTATCAAATGATATTATAACACAATATCAACAAAAAATTAATCATAAACCAATTTTAAATAATTTAACAAATCAACAACAACACAATCATCATCAATTTCAACGTAATAATAATAATAATAATAATAATAATAATAATAATAATAATAATAATAATAATAGTATACAATCAAATTTATGTAATCATAATTTACAAAATCAACAATTATTATTATTACAAAATAAAAGGAGTTCAAGTGTTGGTAGTACAAGTAGTAGTAGTAATTGTGATACATTATCATCTATATCAGCATTATCACCAATAAAAATGCCATCACCAATATTACCATCACCAGCATCAATATTAATTGATAGTGGACGTGGTAGTGCAGCTAGTATAACATCAAGTTTAAATGGTAATGAAAATTTATTATCAACATCAATAATTACAACACCAACAACAACAACAACAATACCTATATTAACATCACCAATACATACTTCATTATTAACATTATCAACGAATAATAATGATAATATAAATAATAATGAAAATGAAAATCTACCAATATCATCATTACCATCATCAGTATCATTATCATCTTCAATATCTTCAACGCTGTCATTATCAAAATCTATAACTAATTTATCATATTCATCATCAATATCAGCAACAAAAATATGTTCAAAATCAAAATCATTAAATGGTATTAATAATAACAGTAATAGTAATAATAATAATGATATTGAAATAGAAAATTCAACAAGTAAATCATTATTAGGATCAACCGCAACGCAAATATTATCAACAAATAATAATAATAATAATAACAATAATAATATACCATCAACATTACCACCAATAATACAATCCGGACAAATAACAAGAATTCAACAGAATCAACAACAACAACAACAGCAAACTAATAATAATCATAATAATAATATAAATTCTAAAAATAATTCTAATACAAATGGTGGTATTACAGGAATTGATACAAATATTGTTGCACATGCTGCTGCAGCAGCTGTTGCTGATAGAACTATTGCTGCGGCTAATTTTGCACAAAGTTTTGCTTTATTACAACCACATTTTCATAATATGTTTTATGCAGCACAATTATTTTCCGGAGGTGAGATATTATAATTGTTGTTCTTTTTTTTTTTTCTTTTGTTTTTTATTATTTTATTATTATTGCATCCTGTTAAATCTCATTTCTATATTTTGCCATTATAATATGGAAATGTTTCCTCTTCCTTTTTATATTTTACTATTCTATATAATATGTATGTATGTATATTGTTCAGTATTTAGAAATTATATTCATACAATTATATTCATAAAAGGATAAGGTTTTAAAATGATTTTATATTATTATGTGAACAAATTTTATAAGGTTTAAAGAGGATTTTGTGACGCTGATGAATATTATATCTTGTGTCTATATTATGTGATTTTAAAATAGTGTGTGTTACATAACAAATATAAGTATAGAATTTTTAATTCGTATACGTATATTGAGTTTATAGTTTAAATTTCTAATTTACAAATTACGTAGGTATTAATTTATTTTATTTTAGTTTTAGAATATTGAATATTTTAGGTAAAAGTAGAAAGGTTATCAAGTAGGTGTGAAATGGAAAATTATAATTGTAAAATTGCAGAAGAATTTAATCGGATAATTATCAGTTTAGAATCAAAATTATTGGCTTTCATTTGCCATTATTATAGTATTGTTATATTGGCCATCTATATTACATAAATAATTCTTAAGTTATAGATAGGAGTAAGCTATTTCGAGTATGTTTATAAGTTGGTCTATTTTAATTTCTTTAATAAAATTATTGTAAATGAGATGAATAATAGAATTCAGAAATAACAAAAAAATTCAAAATTTACATAAAGGTTAACATATTTACCATTTGTAATTGTGTAGATTAGCTATCAGCAAAATGCGGCCCCCTAAACTTTAAAATGCGATCCATCATTCTGCTTAAACGAAAAAAAAATATTCGATTGCAACTATTAAAATTTAAAAAAAAATTTTTCAAAAATCAATCAATTCCATATAGATTTTTTATTTGTCAAAACAATTAATATGTCAGTTGAAAATGTCATTTCATCTTTTAAGTAGGTAATGTAAGAAACTCGAATGGTTCACACTTAATACCTAATGTATATATTTGCCAACAACAGACAAAAATTTGACCCATTTGAAAATTTGACCATAGATTTTGTCTAGTACAATGAGGAGACGGTCATGCAAATTTTGTTTAATTGATCTCCTTTAATTGCTACAATAAAGAAAAAATTTTTTGTGCTGGGCTTTCTCAATATTGATAAGGCCCATTACAATTCTTTACGGAATAATATATTCGGATATTTATTTGGGACCCGAATAGTATTGTTGGTATATGGAAGGTACTATAAGCCATGGTTGGTTGTAGTTGTAATGTAAGGGATTAGTGATTCTTTAGTCATATATTCTTTTAGCACTCTGTGCAATCCTACATTTGCAATTAATTTCCAAATAAATTAAAAATACTGTTTTGTTTCTTAAACTGTTTCTAACAAATTTTTCATTAATAGAGTCATATGTAGTAAGTACATAGCTGTTAACTTTTTCCACAACAATTTAATATAACTATTTTATAGAAATTGGTAATATTAATTAAACCCCTTCCAAAACATATTTCAAATTTGTTCTATATTTTTAAAATAAGAAAAAAAAAAATAAGAAACTATTAATATTTTTGTAACTGTCTTTTAATATTGAACACATCAACCTCAATTTACTTGTCTATTATTAAGCTTATACAATTTTTTTTAACTATTCATTTCTATTGTTTTCTATTATTACCAGCTATAATTATTATTTAGCATTTACTTTGTAAAAATTTTCTATTTGTTTAATTTTTTTTTTGTTGAATAAAAAAAAAATAATGTTTATTCCCTTTTTCTCCGCTCCTCTCTTCATTCACTCTTCTCTTCACTTCCGTACAAAGAAATTTAATTTCTGTAAAGTTGAAAAGTTTTCTTTCCTTTCTTCTCTAATTTCTTTATTTTTTATTTTTTCTCTCATTTTTCTTTTTTTCATTTTTTGTTTCATTAAACCGAGAAAAAGAACTCAAAAAGTGTACTAAAAATCGATTTGAATATGTCCAAAAAAAAATTCGTGACTTTTCTAATTTCTCAATTCTTTTAGGAAATTTCCTTATTTTATTTTTATTTTTGGTTTTTTTTATTTTCTCTTCTATAATAATAGTTACCAATAATATTTAACTGTCTATTGACTAAAGTTGATTGTTTTTTTTTCTTCTTTTTTAGTTTTTGCAAATTTATTTTATTTTTACTTATATTTCAAACCATACAAACTTTTTGTTTTTTGTTTTCTTTAACAAGGGTATTCAACTGTGCTTATTAACTACCCAAAATAGGCAAAACATTATATAAAAAACAAAATGAGAAAAACTGTAACAGTAAAATAAAATCAAATAACATGGAAGTACAGTAAAGTAGTATGTAGCTAGTACTTTCAAAGTTAACTGTTATTTGGCGAAAAAAAATGAAAAAAACGAGAACAAAAATAATAATTTTGTGGCTACATACATGAATTTGTAAAATAAATCTTTAATACATTAATCAGTAGTTGTTTACAACCCAAATTTTTAGTACAATTGTGTAAAATTTTTTAGTACCTGCTTTTAGTAATAATATAATATGATTTGCGGCGGAACTAACCCCATGCTACACTATGACTAATTTTGTACTGCCATTTATCTATGCTGTACAAAATCCTTCATAACATTCTAATACTATACAAGTAAAATGGTTAATGTCCAGACTACGGCCGTTTTCTAGTAAATCAAATACGAGTAACTGACGTTAGCTATAAATTTCAATGCGACATGACTTACGCGTCGTTAATTTTCAATATACATAAATGTGCGTTGCCAACGTAACTAATTTTTTGAAGGCTAATGCATAAGGGATAAATGACGAAGAAAACATTTTATTTTTAAAATTTTAAATGTTCAGTATTATTGGAATACTCGTAATTTTAAAAATTTCAATTTCGAAAATTGCTTAAATGCAGATTGTCATTTTGCAAAACCAAGTGAATGACGTGATTACCATGACCATCAAATTTTTGAGATACCGGGAAACGGCCTACTGATACGTTTATGTACTTAAGATTGAACGGTTACTTAAAATCAGCTCTATCTGATGGCAAATAACACAAATAATAATGTATCGCTATTCTTATCAGATTTACTATTAGATTTTTTAAGAGTAAAATGGCGACAATTAATTTTTTATTTGAAAATTTTTACCAGCGATCAGGTGATTTTTATTTTGGTTATAATTTTAAGGTAAGCAGTACCTTGCATAATTTGAGAGAAGTTACTTTAACATAAAATTTCATTATAAAATCCATTCTTAACAAAAATACTTATTAAATCTCATCAAATCACCACTGAGAACCGGGCGATGTATTCTAAGAATGTAATATGTGTTATACTGTTATACATAATATGTATAATTCTAATTCAAAGTGATTTTTATTTGCATTTTTCTTTTCTTTTTTTTTCATCATTTTTATTTTTTTTTTAGCTTTCACGATCGAATTTTCTCTTATTTTGATTTTCTTTTCTGATTTTTGCTTTTATTTTTTGCTCCCTTTTTATCTTCTTTTGACACAAAAAAAAAAACGTTTTGTTCACTTCATTCTGTTGTAATTTCGCTCATTCTACAATACACTCTTAAAATGACCTCAATATTTTTTGACCTAACTTATTTCTCATTATCAAAAAGAAGCAAAATAACAGTAGTATTGTTTTTTTTTTGTTGTATAATTCTTGTATACAATTCAATCTGCAAATCAACATTCTTACATACTTTGTACATATTTTAAATTATACATGGATTTATATGTATGTAATGAAAAATGTACGAAAGAACGAAATTATGATCGCACCAGGAGTGTAATCAGGAGAAAGGAATACCCGCTTTTTTTATAAGTATATAGATTTTGTTTATTGAGGAACATGGCTTAGTAAATCAAGCTACATCAAACACTGTTCATAGATTTTGTTGACAAAATTGTGTTTTTAGCATTTGGTAAATTTTAAACCATCAATGAAATTTAATCTTAATATTCGATAATTTTTAGAAAATTTTCATATAATGGGTGTTCAATAAAGGTGTTGTCGTGATAAAATTACAAGGCCTTTAAAATATTAAATTAGTTAAGTTTTGGCTCATTTGGAACACAAGCGAATGTTACAAGTCGCCAAAGTTTATTGATACAGGTAACTGAACATTTCACTAGCAAGGCCAATCAACAACAACTTCTTAAATTTGAAACTTACGAGATTCGGGTTCATTCAATATTGATTTAATTTCAAATGACTTTTGAAAGTACAGTGCATTGTATAGTACCGATCGAAGCTCTTTTAATTCAGATATGATTAAGAAAATACCCGGAATTAGCTCTTTCTCAGTTTCTTTAAAAACCAAATTAGAATATGTGTATATGGAGAGTACTTTACCACCCAACGATCTGCGAATTCATATATGGGTAAATACATTCCTGGAAAATGATTTTTTATTGAATATTATGTGTGCAATAAATGTATATAAGTCCGATGTCAGAGACAGAAGAAGAAACAGCAACAAAAAAAAATTTAATATTATACTAAAGATACGGGCAAGTACATAATTTTCATTCAAGGAATGTAAAAATTTCTATATTTATATAACAAAAGATTTTATTTTTTTTTGTGGTATTGGATGGACGGTTTATGGTTAAGAATTGATAGCTTTCATGTAGTTTCAATAATACTTTTCTTTTCAACAAAATCTAGTTGTTATTGCATTCTTTTATTCTTTTATTGTTATCTTTAATTTTGGACCTTATAAAGAGAGATAGTTTAAGAGTCCATAAACTTGAAATGTTTTTTTTTTTTCTTTTTCTTTTACTTCTAAATTATCAACTATACCGGCGTCTAATATGTGCTAGATGCATATTAGTAAACTATTAAATTTAATGTTTGATTGGGAAAGCATTTATGTATGCCTTTAGTTGGTATACTTAATGAAATCAAAAATTATTGTTTGAATTTGTAAATT